AAATGTATTCTTAGTAGGTAGTAGTCTTGATATCTTTGAAAGATATTCCAATTTATTTAAATTACAAAGGGTTTTGAGTTATTGTTTACGATTCATGAGTAACTGCAGAAAACCTAAAGCATTAAGAGTCACTGGATCTTTAACCGTTGGGGAATTGAAATCTTGCATGATGGTGTTAGTCAAGATGTCGCAAAGCTAATATTGGGAAACTGAAATTAGGCTATTACAGAAATCAAAATATATTCCTAGGGCAAGCAAGCTTTTAGCGTTTAATCCATTTCTGGATAACGAAGGTATTCTAAGGGTGGGCGGAAGGTTAGCAAATTCTAATTTACAATTTGAACAAAAACATCCTGCTATATTATCTGGTAAGAGTAAGTTTACTAAACTATTAATTAATTATGAACACAAGAGGTTATTACATGCAGGACCGCAAGCCTTACTAGCACATCTTCGTCAAAAATTTTGGATAATTTCGGGAAAAACAGTTGTAAAAAATATGGTTCAAAAATGTATAACTTGTGCAAGGGCTAAACCTAAAAATTTTAATCAGCTCATGGGTGATTTGCCCAAGGATTGTGTGATACCCAGACGGCCTTTCAGTAATTGCGGTTTAGATTATGCTGGACCATTTGAAATAATGATTAAAAAGGTAAGAGGCTGTGCTTCAACGGAAGCTTACTTATGTATATTTGTCTGTTTCTCAACAAGGGCTGTACATTTGGAACTAGTAAATGACCTTACTACTCATGCATTTTTAAATTGTTTTAAGAGATTTGTCTCAAGAAGAGGCTTGCCTACCAATATTTATTCAGATAACGCAACAAATTTTGTAGGGGCGCGAAACGAAATAAGGACCCTAATAAATTTCATTAAGGAAAGACAAGTTCAAACCGAATTTGAGAAATATTTTACGGAATTGTCAATTAACTGGCACTTTATTCCGCCAAGGGCTGCGCATTTTGGGGGGTTTGTGGGAATCTGCGGTAAGGACAGCTAAATATCATCTAACGCGGGTTATAGGACAACAAAAACTAACTTTTGAGGAGCTATTCACTGTAATAACACAAGTAGAATCTTGCATGAATTCAAGACCGCTTGTACCCCTGACACAAGATACAGAGTACTTGCAGGTGCTCACTCCGGGGCATTTTTTAATTGGAACGTCTCTATTGGCACCACCCCAAGAAGAGTTGATAGATACCAATACTAAAAGGTTAAATCGTTACCAGCTGATCTCCCAAATCGTCCAAAGCTTTTGGAAGAAATGGTCTCGCGAGTATTTGTCTAATCTACAACAACGAAGCAAATGGAGAACTGTTGAAAATATCAAAGTGGGTGACTTGGTAGTGGTTAAAGACAAAGATTTTCCACCTCTTAAGTGAAAAATAGCTAGAATTACTATGTTACATCCGGGAAAGGACGGAATTACTCGTGTTGTGACAATAAAAACTTCAAATGGTTTGTGTCGAAGAGCATTAACCGAACTTTGTGTATTGCCCGTAGAAAGGGCATAAGTATATTTTGGGAATTTTAAATTATCATTGTTATTATTTGTGAATATTAGGTTTATGTAATTTTGTTTCAGTTGATTGGTTCAATACATTTGTAAATTATATTGAATGATAATGTCATCATTCAAGGGTGGCGGCATGTTTGGATTTGTACATTTTGGAATCACTTTGTATTCTATCGATTTAGTTAGTTACGGTGGTCTGACAATTAATGTCAGATAATAACAAAAAATTATTACATCTTGTCCGCTATTCTTGAATGATCCAAAAGTTATCCTGTACTTTAAAGAATAAATAGTTGGACGAACCAGCATCTTTAATTGGTATTTAGGGGCATTAGCCATTACAGGGCCAATAACTATCGATTTTATTAGCTGGTTTACCTGCCTTAAGAATTGGATAAATGGTTCCAGATCTTAGGGTACAAATAAGTGAAGCGGCGAGGACAGAGCCACGTGGCGAGGGTAGCAGCATCACACGAGATACACGATTATAGTGGCGCTACGATTTAAAGAGTTAACAGCACGAGGCATGTATAAATTTCATATAGTTTACTAGTTGCTTTATAGTTTTCAAGATGTTTTTAGAGAGTAAAGATAAAATTTTGTTTGATAATGAAGCACTAAGCCTACTATTGGTTAGAAGTAGGCAATAATATAATGAACATCTAGTAAATGAAAGAAGAAGTAAGGTGGAACAATATCAAAACCTTTTTCTGAAGCCAATAAAATATCCTGACAAGTTTTTTTAATACCTACGTATGGATTTATCCACCATACTAGAAAAAGTGACCGCTCATCTAACTAAGAAATGGACAAATTATATACATCAGCTAAAATAATGATTTTACCTCGCGCTGAATAAATTCTGAATTTAAATCAAGACTCCACGCTCCATGTGACTCCAAGCGGCAACTCGTCGCTTAGAGCTTTAGAATGTACCTATCAATTTAAAATATAGTACGATACAAGAACCCTTGCCGCTTCACTATATTTGTACCCTTATTGACGTTTCGTCAGATAGCGTGGCATAGCGTAGTGTCAGAACAATGTGTCTCGGTCTTAATTATTTTTAACACGCTTATATTAGCTTCATTCACCTGTATGTATGTTTGTAACTCTCCTTTGAACTCAAGTGGCTTATTACTGTCAGTATATCCCGTTAAGTCAAGTTCGTTCGTGGCCGAGCGGTCTAACGCGCGGCTTTTGGATTGCCAGTCACACCGATCGTGGGTTGTAATCCCCACGGCTAAAAAATTTTTTTTTCAGCAATTTTTTTTTAATAATCGAACTAAAAAATAAATATAGTTTAAAAAAACTAAAAAACACGGTTTTAAAATACATCGAACAATAATAAATGGAAAATACTAGTATTATTGTGAAAAAAGCGTGGGGCGCTTTGTCCATATTTCTCGTACATGGAGCGCCCGACGCTTTTTTCACAATAATACTAGTATTTTCCATTTATTATTGTTCGATGTATTATAAAAGCGTGTTTTTTAGTTTTTTAAAACTATATTTATTGTATATTTCAGATTTCTTTATCTGCTTCAGCAGGTCCGGTTTACCTCTATAACGTACTTAAGAAATTCCTGTAAATGTCATTTTGACTTACATTAAATCATGCTTTCGACCATTTTTATTTGAAGGCAGTTGCATTTTTTAGTCCATTGTGCAACAAAAACAAGCTTGTGACTATCGGGTCATACAATCATGATGAGTCGGGTCCAGTTTGACTAGACAACACCCAGAATGATTTTATCGCGTGCTGAAACAAACCTAAAGAAACCTCAATGTTCCCAATATTTTTATCCACGGGGACATTTAGTACATCAACCAGGACGACCGGGACAGAAATTTCAAACCGGTGACATGTCCCGGTGTACCGGGATGAATGGCAACCCTACCCTCGCGGCTAGCAGCTGCGGTCCTCTCACGGGCAGGTTTAAATAATTAAGATAAAAGGTCCATTAATTTGAGAAGAACGGGATTTAATTAACTAATGCTTAAAATTTGAGTGTATGTGACCACGGACTAGTCTGAGATTACATCAGCATTGAAGCATGGTACCTCAAAAATTTACTTCGGAATGCCATTAATTGTTTTGATAACTTATGAAGTGTAGCAAATATAAACAAATAAAAGTGAAAAATGAAAATATGAAAATTGTAAACTACTGGTTTCCCCCTTATCGCTTACTAGAATGCTTCCATATAGTATAATATAGTATAATATAGTTAGTTTTACTACAAAAATAAAATTTTAAATTCTAAGAAAAAAATCTGATGTGTCCAACACATGACTTTCCTATCTAGTTATTATAGGCTTTTTCCGGTTATTTTGTACAACCTATTGCAGCATCTCTATAAATGTTTAGAGGATAAACTAAATATGTACATTGTCCACATACATCTACCTCAAAACATTTTTCTATAGATATTCATTGAAAACGAAAATACTGAAAAATTTAAATTTAGCACTTTTACATTACGGTCCATTTTAGAAAAATCATGTATAAACAAAAATTATAGAGATCGATATCGCAAACAACTTTTAATTCAACAATTTTCATAAAAATCAGAAATGTGGAGGATAAACGTACTGTTAATTCAAAATGGTACACTACATTTACACTACATTTTGTTTGTCTCAGGTACTCCAAAAGATACGCGACAATATGTCTAAGAGGAAGGAACATCTTGCATCAAGATGAGGCTCAGACTCACCCTGATGCTCGAACAAATGAGTATTTGAAAGCCCAAAATATAGAAATAATGGGTTGTTCACCGTATAGTCCGGACCTAGCACCTAATGGCCTTTTTTTGTTTCCGCAGATATCTAAAGGATAAATTTTGGGGTTTGCGTTTTACACCTGCCGAAGGAGCGCTTGATGCCTTTAAAAATTAAATAAACAAACTACGGCCAGAAGATTGAAGAAAATGTTTCAGGAATGGCTTTCGCAGATAGAAAAATATATTGACTGGAAGAGAATACTTTGAAAAATTATAAATAAATGTTTTGTATAAATAAACTGTGTTTTCTTTACTAGGCTCAACGGAATGAAAACGGCCCTCGTAGCACAAGCAGTTTATAACTTTGTGGTAGATTCTTAATTAGTACTGGTTTCCATTAAATTTTTTTTTACAAAACTCCCTTAGAGATATTTTTTAAATTTCAAGTATGCGTCTAATCTTAATTGTACAATATTTTATTTATTTAATAAGTATGTATGTTTTTTTATTATACTCTATTGAGGTATTTGGAAGGATAAAACACAATTATAAATATCGATTATAAAAAAACTATTTTACAAATTAACTCTGCTAACCTGCAAATTTGACACTGTTACGCCACTTATTTATCAACTTTACAATATGGCGCTGACAATGACTACACTTTCTCGCATATCACATTGACGCAGTTATACTTTTCTTTTAATCTAAAGTATAAAGAAACAGAAAGAACACCTTTTAGAAGCTTATCGTACCTTTAACTGTTTTATTTTTGTACAAAATTCTAATACTTGTTTGGTTCCCAAAGTGTTGTAGATCAAAGCTTGTTTTAAGTCTTCATTAAATCTGAAATTAAAAAATTGAATTTAAAAGTATATATTAAAATATTTAATAAAAATTATGTATTTTACAATTGGAAAAAGGTACCTTACAAATATTAAAAAGATCTACCTACAAATCGATGGAAACATGTAGTAAAACAAGTGTGGCGAAAGGGGCTGCTTTCAAGCTATTCTGTTTAACTTAATTATAAATGGTTTTAATTAAGCTTAATTCATAATGGTTTTGTGTGATTCATTTGCTAACTAGTGGCATTAAATGCAGTCATCGCAAATATCTATATTTTTTTTTTGAAAGAGGTTGGCCCGAAATGTTTAATTCAAAAATTAATATTCACTAAATTATTATTATTAAGAACTTTAGGAAGTGTAACAGTTGTGTGTAAAATGAAAGTAAAATAACTATTTGTGTATTAAGAGCGAAAAGTGATTCTTTGCCGCTCGAGACAGAAAGTTAGCGAGCGCGGCAATTTGTTGAAAGCGGCAACGAACTTTTTGTTAAAAATGCACAGAATATTTTTTCTACAATCACACTTTTTTAAGCAATAGATATAAAATCTGAAAATTTGTCGTAACTATTGTATAATCTGTTGCCTATACCTACAAAAATCATCAAAACAGCAGTTGATATTCAAAGTCCATGTTAACTTGGATAATATAACAAAAAAAAACATGTAACTACGTACAAATAACTTAAAAATCATTGTATTGTAGCTAATTTAAATAAGACGAGCAATAAAGCTATCAACTTTGTCGTTTGGCGAACGACTAAGCTGTTAGTTGGCAAAAAATGTCAACTTTGTGGTTGGATTTTAAAGCGCAAAAGTCTACTTTGGATAGTGATAAAAAATCACTGTTGAAAACAGTTGCTTCATAATAACGATTTTTTCTCGTACAATAGTTTGGGCTTGAAATTGCAGCCTTTGCCACATTTTTCATCTAATATATAATTGCACTATTACTTTCAAGTTCGAAATTTTAAATGAATCGACGTCAACTTATCAGACATTAGCAAAACTCACAGATATGAACTTACAGACCACCTAGAAGTACGATACATATCTTGACAAGATATAAAGAGAGGACTAGTAACGTCGCAGGAAATCTTGTTCCATTCTGACACCAATGATATTTGACCACAGGAGTAATATGTTGGAAATAAAACAATGAACTTATTTATGTTATTAGTACTTTATTGATCATTTTAGGAATAAAGCAAGTTCAAAGCGTAAAAATTAAAATAAATAAGGAACAATAAATTAGGCACAATAAAATATATATACAAGGTGTGCCACGCTAAACGGGACGGAGCATGGTGGGTTAACTACAAACTGCATTCTTTCGACATAAATCATCGAGATAGAATAAATAGATACGATATAAACACTATTTTGCGATATGACAATTGGACGCAATTCAACTGACGAATAAGTGTAATGAAAATGGCGACATGAATCGGAGTTTGATTTATTTAAAAATGATTTTATATCACATATTTGCCTGCGGCTTTGCACACGTGGTGTCGTGTTTGTAATTTAAAAAATGAATATTTATTAATTTTTATTATTTTTTTATTAATTTTTAATTATTTCTATTCATTTTTTTTTTTAAATTAATTTTTATTAATTTTTATTAATTTTTATTAATTTTTATTAATTTTTATTAATTTTTATTAATTTTTATTAATTTTTATTAATTTTTATTAATTTTTATTAATTTTTATTAATTTTTATTATTTTTATAAATTTTTATTAATTTTTATTAATTTTTATTAATTTTTATTAATTTTTATTAATTTTTATTAATTTTTATTAATTTTTATTAATTTTTATTAATTTTTATTAATTTTTATTAATTTTTATTATTTTTATTAATTTTTATTAATTTTTATTAATTTTTATTAATTTTTATTAATTTTTATTAATTTTTATTAATTTTTATTAATTTTTATTAATTTTTAATAATTTTTAATAATTTTTAATAATTTTTAATAATTTTTAATAATTTTTAATAATTTTTAATAATTTTTAATAATTTTTAATAATTTTTAATAATTTTTAATAATTTTTAATAATTTTTAATAATTTTTAATAATTTTTAATAATTTTTAATAATTTTTAATAATTTTTAATAATTTTTAATAATTTTTAATAATTTTTAATAATTTTTTAATAATTTTTAATAATTTTTTAATAATTTTTAATAATTTTTAATAATTTTTTAATAATTTTTAATAATTTTTAATAATTTTTAATAATTTTTAATAATTTTTAATAATTTTTAATAATTTTTAATAATTTTTAATAATTTTTAATAATTTTTAATAATTTTAATATAATAATTTTTAATAATTTTTAATAATTTTTAATAATTTTTTAATAATTTTAATAATTTTTAATAATTTTTAAAATTTTAAATATTTTTAATAATTTTTAATAATTTTTAATAATTTTTAATAATTTTTAATAATTTTTAATAATTTTTAATAATTTTTAATAATTTTTAATAATTTTTAATAATTTTAATAATTTTTAATAATTTTTAATAATTTTTAATAATTTTTAATAATTTTAATAATTTTTAATAATTTTTAATAATTTTTAATAATTTTTAATAATTTTTAATAATTTTTAATAATTTTTAATAATTTTTAATAATTTTTAATAATTTTAATAATTTTTAATAATTTTTAATAATTTTTAATAATTTTAATAATTTTAATAATTTTTAATAATTTTTAATAATTTTTAATAATTTTTAATAATTTTTAATAATTTTTAATAATTTTTAATAATTTTTAATAATTTTTAATAATTTTTAATAATTTTTAATAATTTTTAATAATTTTTAATAATTTTAATAATTTTTAATAATTTTTAATAATTTTTAATAATTATTAATAATTTTTAATAATTTTTAATAATTTTTAATAATTTTTAATAATTTTTAATAATTTTTAATAATTTTTAATAATTTTTTAATAATTTTTAATAATTTTTAATAATTTTTAATAATTTTTAATAATTTTTAATAATTTTTAATAATTTTTAATAATTTTTAATAATTTTTAATAATTTTTAATAATTTTTAATAATTTTTAATAATTTTAATAATTTTTAATAATTTTTAATAATTTTAAAATTTTTAATAATTTTTAATAATTTTTAATAATTTTTAATAATTTTTATAATTTTAATAATTTTTAATAATTTTTAATAATTTTTAATAATTTTTAATAATTTTAATAATTTTTAATAATTTTTAATAATTTTTAATAATTTTTAATAATTTTTAATAATTTTTAATAATTTTTAATAATTTTTAATAATTTTTAATAATTTTTAATAATTTTTAATAATTTTTAATAATTTTTTAATAATTTAATAATTTTTAATAATTTTTAATAATTTTTAATAATTTTTAATAATTTTTATAATTTTTAATAATTTTTAATAATTTTTAATAATTTTTAATAATTTTTAATAATTTTTAATAATTTTTAATAATTTTTAATAATTTTTAATAATTTTTAATAATTTTTAATAATTTTTAATAATTTTTAATAATTTTAATAATTTTTAATAATTTTTAATAATTTTAATAATTTTTAATAATTTTTAATAATTTTTAATAATTTTTAATAATTTTTAATAATTTTAATAATTTTTAATAATTTTTAATAATTTTTAATAATTTTTAATAATTTTTAATAATTTTTAATAATTTTTAATAATTTTTAATAATTTTTAATAATTTTTAATAATTTTTAATAATTTTTAATAATTTTTAATAATTTTTAATAATTTTTAATAATTTTAATAATTTTTAATAATTTTTAATAATTTTAATAATTTTTAATAATTTTTAATAATTTTTAATAATTTTTAATAATTTTTAATAATTTTTAATAATTTTTAATAATTTTTATAATTTTTAATAATTTTTAATAATTTTTAATAATTTTTAATAATTTTAATAATTTTTAATAATTTTTAATAATTTTTAATAATTTTTAATAATTTTTAATAATTTTTAATTAATAATTTTAATAATTTTTAATAATTTTTAATAATTTTTAATAATTTTTAATAATTTTTAATAATTTTTAATAATTTTTAATAATTTTAATAATTTTAATAATTTTTAATAATTTTTAATAATTTTTAATAATTTTTAATAATTTTTAATAATTTTTAATATTTTTAATAATTTTTAATAATTTTTAATAATTTTTAATAATTTTAATAATTTTTAATAATTTTTAATAATTTTTAATAATTTTTAATAATTTTTAATAATTTTTAATAATTTTTAATAATTTTTAATAATTTTTAATAATTTTAATAATTTTTAATAATTTTTAATAATTTTTAATAATTTTTAATAATTTTTAATAATTTTTAATAATTTTAATAATTTTTAATAATTTTTAATAATTTTTAATAATTTTTAATAATTTTTAATAATTTTTTAATAATTTTTAATAATTTTAATAATTTTTAATAATTTTTAATAATTTTAATAATTTTAATAATTTTTAATAATTTTTAATAATTTTTAATAATTTTTAATAATTTTAATAATTTTTAATAATTTTTAATAATTTTTAATAATTTTTAATAATTTTTAATAATTTTTATAATTTTTAATAATTTTAATAATTTTTAATAATTTTTAATAATTTTTAATAATTTTTAATAATTTTAATAATTTTTAATAATTTTTAATAATTTTTAATAATTTTTAATAATTTTTAATAATTTTTAATAATTTTTAATAATTTTTAATAATTTTTAATAATTTTTAATAATTTTTTAATAATTTTTAATAATTTTTAATAATTTTTAATAATTTTTAATAATTTTTAATAATTTTTAATAATTTTTAATAATTTTTAATAATTTTTAATAATTTTTAATAATTTTTAATAATTTTTAATAATTTTTAATAATTTTTAATAATTTTTATAATTTTAATAATTTTTAATAATTTTTAATAATTTTTAAT